GGAGTTGTAGGTCTTGGGATGTGTAGTTCACCTGCTATCAAAGAGTAATCTGAACTACACCAAATATGGAATTTGACCAAACTTGGCACACAGAGCCCCCATGACCAGCAAAAAGGTCTTTGGGGAAAATTCACCTTGATTTGGGGAGTTGTAGTTCACCTACATCCAGAGTGCATTATGAACCCAAACAACAATAGATCTGGATCAAACTTGGAATGCATATCTGATATGCATTCCATATCAGATATGGAAGGAGGAGAATTGCTATGGACATTTTGTAGGTACTGGGATTTATAGTTCACCTGCAATCAATGAGCATTCAGAACTCCACCAAAGAGGGAATTGGACCAAACTTGGTACACAGAGCCCTCATGATGGGTAAAAAATACTGGAGGTCTTTGGGGGCAATGCACCTTGATTTGGGGGGTTGAAGTTGCTGGGATGTATAGTTCACCTGCAATCAATGAGCACTCTGAACTCCACCAAAGATGGAATTGGACCAAACTTGGTACACAGAGCCCTCATGATGGGCAAAAAATACTTGAGGTCTTTGGGGAAAACGAACCTTGATTTGGGGGAGTTGTAGTTCACCTACATCCAGAGTTGTAGTTGCTGGGATGTATAGTTCACCTGCAATCAATGAGCATGCTGAACTCCACCAAAGAGGGAATTGGGCCAAACTTGGTACATAGAGCCGTCACGATGAGCAAATAATACTGGAGGTCTTTGGGGAAAATTCACCTTGATTTGGGGAGTTGTAGTTCACCTACATCCAGAGTTGTAGTTGCTGGGATGTATAGTTCACCTGCAATCAATGAGCACTCTGAACTCCACCAAAGATGGAATTGGACTAATTTGGTACACAGAGCCCTCATGACGGGCAAAAATACTGGAGGTCTTTGGGGAAAATCCACCTTGATTTGGGGGAGTTGTAGTTCACCTACATCCAGAGTGCATTATGAACCCAAACAAAAATGAATCTGGACCAAACTTGGGATGCATATCTGATATGCATTCCATATCAGATATGGAACGAGGAGAATTGGTTTGGACATTTTGTAGGTACTGGGATGTATAGTTCACCTGCAATCAATGAGCAGTCTGAACTCCCCCAAAGAGGGAATTGGGCCAAACTCTGTCACTCCTTCCCACCTGCTACTAAGGAGGCTGTCGAGGTCCTGAACCGGTGCCTGGCCGCTGTAACGGTCTGGATGAGGGCGAACAAACTGAAATTAAATCCAGACAAGACAGAGGTACTCCTGGTCAGTCGCAAGGCCGAACAGGGTATAGGGTTACAGCCTGTGCTGGATGGGGTCGCACTCCCCTTGAAGGCGCAGGTTCGCAGCTTGGGTGTGATCCTGGATTCATCGTTGAGCCTGGATCCCCAGGTTTCAGCGGTGACCAGGGGAGGATTTGCACAGCTCAGGCTCGTGCGCCAGCTGCGCCCGTACCTCGGGAAGTCTGACTTGCCACGGTAGTACACGCTCTGGTCACATCCCGCCTTGACTACTGCAACGCTCTCTACGTGGGGCTGCCCTTGAAGACGGCCCGGAAGCTTCAGCTAGTCCAGCGCGCGGCAGCCATGTTACTAACGGGAGCGGGACGCAGGGAGCACACAACGCCCTTGTTGTCCCAGCTCCACTGGCTGCCGATCTGCTACCGGGCCCAATTCAAGGTGCTGGTGTTATCCTACAAAGCCCTAAACGGTTCCGGCCCAAAATACCTTTCGGACCGCATCTCGGCCTACGAGCCCACGAGGGCCTTGAGATCGTCTGGGGAGGCCCTTCTCTCGGTCCCGCCTGCTTCGCAAGCACGTCTGGCGGGGACGAGAGAGAGGGCCTTCTCGGTGGTGGCTCCTCGGCTGTGGAACTCTCCCGGCAAACATTAGACAGGCGCCCTCCCTCATGTCCTTTCGAAAAAGCCTTAAAACCTGGCTGTTCGAGAGGGCATTTAATTAAGTGCTAGTAACAACATCATGGTAACATTATGGTAATGAGAACTGGAATGATATAAGGACGATGAGACTGGCCTATGATTCTACTAAGAGACGAAGCGGATTTTTATGTAGTTTGTAGTTGTTTGTATAGCTATGTGTTTGTAGATACTGACTTTTGTAACTGTCTTTTATGTGTACTGTACACCGCCATGAGTCGCCCGTAAGGGCTGAGAATGGCGGTTAATAAATGAATCAAATAAATAAATAAATAAACTTGGTACACGGAGCCCTCATGATGAGTAAAAAATGCTGGATGTCTTTAGGGGAAATGCACCTTGATTTTGGGAGTTGTAGTTCACCTACATCCAGAGTTGTAGTTGCTGGGATTTATAGTTCACTTGCAATCAATGAGCACTCTGAACTCCACCAAAGATGGAATTGGGCCAAACTTGGTACAGAGAGCCCTCATGATGGGCAAAAAATACTGGAGGTCTTTGGGAGAAAGTCACCTTGATTTGGGGGAGTTGTAGTTCACCTACAACCAGAGCGCACAATGAACCCAAACATCGATGGATCTGGACCAAACTAGGCACATATTACTAATATCCCGACATTTGATGACTGGAGGGGTTTGGGGGAAATGGACCTTCCTTCCTGGGAGTTGTAGTTCACCAACAAACAGAGAAATTGTGACCTCCACCGATAATGGATCTGGACCAAACGTGGCACACAGAACCTCCATGACTCACTCCGCCTACTGGAGGGGAAATGTTTCTCAATGGTTCTGTGCCTTTTACTCCAAAGAGTAAATTAACACTTGTGTCTATTAAGGGAAAGAGAAACGCGCTTCCCGTTGAAGGAAGGTGCTAAATTGCGAAGCCGAGTGTTTCTGGCTTCCTCCTTTTCCCTTTCATTCATGACTTTGGGAATAGTAATGACTCAAAATATAATGGATGTGTCAAAGTAGGCCGGGCTATAGCACAGCGGGTTAAACCACCAGCTGTAAAAAATCCTGCCAATCAGGAGAAGGGTGAGGAGTCAAGTTCAATGTCTTTTGGGTGGAAAGGTTAGGTTAGGATTGGGTTATCTGGAGTATATTATCTATCTACGTGTTAATGAAAATACGTATGTTTGTTTGTTCCACGAAGGCTTCTACGTGGCTTGATGGGATCTGGACCAAACGTGGTACACATACTCGTCATTGCCCAACTTATAATAATTGTGGTGTTTCAGCTACAAAAACTCACTCGTTTTGGAGCCAGGACATCAAAAAGAAATAAAAATGTATCTATGCAGTGCTAAGATGCAGCCACAAGGGGGCAGTGCAGAGATAGAAAGGATTAACTATTAGGGATGAATGTATGCAGTACTTCAATGCAATCACAAGAGGGCGGTATAGAGATAGAAAGGATTGGCTAGGGTTATATGTATGCAGTGCTTAGATGCAATCACACGAGGGCAGTGTAGAAATAGAAAGGATTAGCCATGGAGATATGCATGCAGTGCTTAGATGCAACCACAACAGGGCAGTGTAAATATAGGATTAACTATTAGTCTCTAGGGATGAATGTATGCAGTACTTAGATACAACCACAAGAGGGCAGAATAGAGATAGAAAGGATTAGCTATGGAGATATGCATGCAGTGCTTAGATACAACCAGAAGGGGGCAGTGTATAGATAGAAAGGATTAGCTATTAGCCTCTAGGGATGAATATACACACTGCTTAGATACAACCACAAGAGGGCAGTATAGAGGTAGAAAGGATTAGCTAGGGATATATGTATGCAGTGCTTAGATGCAACCAGAAAGGGGCAGTGTATCAAAAGAAAGGATTAGCCTCTGGGGATGTATGTTCACGCTACTTCGATACAACCACAAGAGGGCAGTATAGAAATAGAAAGGATTAGCTATTAGTTTCTAGGGATGAATGATGCAATGCTTCGATACCACCACAAGAGGGCAGTGTATAGATAGAAAGGATTAGCTATTAGTCTCTAGGGATAATGTATGCAGCGCTTATATGCAACCACAAGAAGGCAGTGGATAGATAGAAAGGATTAGCTGTTAGTCTCTAGGGATGAATGTACACACTGCTTAGATACAACCACAAGAGGGCAGTATAGAGGTAGAAAGGATTACCTAGGGATATATGTATGCAGTGCTTAGATGCAACCACAAGAGGGTTGTGTATAAATAGAAAGGATTAGCTATTAGCCTCTAGGCATGAATATCTGCAGCGCTTAGATGCAACCATAAGAGGGCAGTATAGTGATAGAAAGGATTAGCTAGGGATATATGTATGCAGTACTTAGATGCAACCACAAGACAGCAGTTTAGAGATAGAAAGGATTAGCCTCTAGGGATGAATGTACTCACTGCTTAGATAAAACCACAAAAGGGCAGTGTATAGATAGAAATGATTAGCTTTGGAGATATGTATTTAGTGCTTACATGCATCCACAAGATGGCAGTGAATAGATAGAAAGGATTAGCTATTAGCCTCTAGGGATGAATGTACGCACTGCTTAGATACAATCACAAGAGGGCAGTATCGAGGTAGAAAGGATTAGCTTGGGATATATGTATGCAGTACTTAGATGCAACCACAAGACGGCAGTGTAGAGATAGAAAGGATTAGCCATTAGCCTCTGATAGATGTATGCAGTGCTCAGATGCAACCACAAGAGGTCAGTGTAGAGATAGAAAGGATTAGCCATTAGCCTCTGATAGATGTATGCAGTGCTCAGACGCAACCACAAGAGGTCAGTGTAGAGATAGAAAGGCTTAGCCATTAGCCTCTGATATATTTATGCAGTGCTCAGATGCAACCACAAGTGGTCAGTGTATAGTTAGAAAGGATTAGCTATTGGCCTCTAGGGATGTATGTGTGTAGTGCCTAGATGCAACTACAAGAGGGCAGTATAGAGATAGAAAGGATTAGCTCCTAAGCTGAGAGAGTCTTCTCTGTAAAAACCTTGCATTCTCTGAACAGAAATCTCAATTTGTGCTCCTAATTAAATTGCTAATTAATGTTTACAAAAAGCAAGGGAAATCGCAAGGGAGATGGCATCAATATTTATGGGTTTGGATACGCACCTCATTCTCAGGCTATAAATAGCTGATTGGAAAAGACTCATTTAGAATGATCGGGGCCTCCACTGCAAGAGGCTCGACGCAAAAGGGGAGTTGTAGTTTTAGCCTTCTCGGCCACACCAGACTACAACTCCCAGTATCCTGTGGCACTAAGGGCACATCTGGACCTTAGTATTAATATGAACTGCCCCATCACAGAAGGCCGGATAGAGGATGCGTTGATGTTCCATCCTTCTCTTCCATCCTGAGGTTGGGACACCGCTAGTGGCATCATTGCATTGGCCTCAGAGCCCTTCTTCGTGAGAGACGTAGTTTTTGTTATCGGTGCCTGCAAAGAAGAGGCCTATTATTATTATTATTATTATTATTATTATTATTATTATTAAGCAGCAGATGGATGGCCATCTGTTGGGAGTGCTTTGATTGTGCTTTTCCTTCCTAACAGAAAGAGGTTGGACTAAATGGCCTTTGGGGTCCTTTCCAACTCTAGGATTCTATAATATTAGTAATAGTAGTACTCTTCCAACTCAAGGATTATATTATTATTATTATTATTATTATTATTATTATTATTAAGCAGCAGATGGATGGCCATCTATTGAGAGTGCTTTGATTGTGCTTTTCCTTCCTAACAAAAAGAGGTTGGACTAAATGGACTTTGGGGTCCTTTCCAACTCTAGGATTCTATTATCAGTAGTAGTAGTACTTTTCAAACTCAAAGATTCTACTACTACTACTACTATTATTATTATTATTATTATTATTATTATTATTATTAAGCAGCTGCTGGATGGCCATCTGTCGGGAGTGCTTTAACAGAAAGAGGTTGAACTAAATGGCCTTTGAGGTCCTTTCCAACTCTAGGATTCTATTATTAGTAATAGTTGTACTCTTCCAACTCAAGGATTCTATTATTATTATTATTATTATTATTATTATTATTATTATTAAGCAGCGGCTGGATGGCCATCGGGAGTGCTTTGATTGTGCTTTTCCTGCCTGACAGAAAGAGGTTGGACTAAATGGCCGTTGGGGTCCTTTCCAACTCTAGGATTCTATTATTATTAGTAGTAGTAGTAGTAGTAAGTAGAGACTGGATGACCATCTGTCGGGAGTGCTTTGATAGTGCTTTTCCTCCCTGGCAGAAAGACATTGGACTAAATGGCCTTTGAGGTCCTTTCCAACTCTAGGATTCTATTACTATTATTATTAGTATTATATTATTATTATTATTAGTAGTAGTAGTAGTATTAAGCAGAGACTGGATGACCATCTGTCGGGACTGCTTTATTTGTGCTTTTCCTTCCTAACAGAAAGAGGTTGGACTAAATGGCCTTTGGGGTCCTTTCCAACTCTAGGATTTTATTATTATTAGTATTATTAGTATTCTTATTAAGAAGAGGCTGGATGGCCATCTGTTGGGAGTCCTTTGATGGTGCTGTCCCTTCGTAGCAGAAAGAGGTTGGTCTAGATGACCTTTGGGGTCTCCTCGAGCTCTGTAATATGTATTTTGAATAGAGTCTTGATGGCCATCTTTCAGGAGGGATTGAATGGTGTCTTTTATGGCAGGAGGGGGTTGGACTGGGTGGCCCTTGGGGTCCCTTCCAACTTTAGGATTCAATGATATGGATTTTTAACTGAGGCTGGATGGCTATCTGTGGGGAAGGATTGAATGGTGTCTTCTATGGTAGATAGGGGTCAGACTGAGTGGTCCTTGGGGTCCCTTCCAACTCTGTTATGGAACTGAGGCGGGATGGCTATCTGTCAGGAGGGATCGAATGGTGCCTTTAATGGCAGGAGGGGGTCGGACTGGGTGGCCCTTGGGGTCCCTTCCAACTCTAGGATTCCATGATATGGATTTTTAATTGAGGCTGAGTGGCCATCTATCGAGAGGGATCGAATGGTGTCTTTAATGGCATAAGGGCATTGGATTGGATGGCCCTTGGAGTCCTTTCCAACTCTAGGTTTCTAAGATACAGATTCTTAAATGAGGCTGGATGGCTATCTGTGGGGAGGGATCGAATTGTGTCTTTTATGGCAGAAAGGGATTGGACTGGATGGCCCTTGGAGTCTTATCCAGTACTGTGAATCTATGATTCGTTTGTATGGATTTTTAACTGAGACTGGATGGCCATCTGTTGGGAGGGATCAAGCCAGGCCAGGCTTTAGCACAGCGGGTTAAACCGCCAGCTGCAGAAAATCTTACCCATCGAAAGTTGGGGTTGGGGTTGGGCTTAGTCTATTCTAATAGCAGCGAACTTCTCCTCATTGAGGACTTGAGACTTAGGCAGTGTGGGGTTGAATCCCAACAGGGGTGAGCTCCCAGCTTCTGCTCACCTAGCGGTACGAAAACAGTCATGTGAGTAGATAAATAGGTACCGCTATGGGGGTGGACATGCTGACTATTCAATCGGGAGAGCATCTCAAGACAATAGAAGATGGAGCGACAGCACCACCTTGTGGCTGGAGTCGAGCACAGCCTCCAGATGCCGGAGATGGACAAAGATGGGAAGCCTTGGCCTCTGTTTACATAGTGTCTGTCTACCAGGAGTAGAGGAGGACGGTGACCCGTACCTTGGACCGGCGAGGCTGCCGCTTTGCTCTGATCCTCCTCGATGTGGAGGGCTGTCATCAGGAAGCACCCTCCGCCCAGGACCCCCACAAAGGTGCAAACGACAAAGCTGTACTGCAGGCTCCGGAAGTCCCAGAGGTAGGTGCGCTCTCCTTGGTGGCCCTGGATGGCCCCCGCAACCTGGGGGAGAGGGGAGACCTGAGTCCACTGCTCCCTCCAACATGGCGGCCACTGGGTTTGCTGTCCGTTCACCTTTGTGGAGTGTCCCATAAAGAGAAAGCTTATTTTCCCTCCCTCTCTAACCCGTTCCCAACTCACGATGCCAATGAGGTAGGGGCTCCCGGCATCCCCCAGCAAATGACTGACACAAATCTGCAGGGACACCGCAGTCGACTGGCATGCGGGCTTCACCACATACTGCAGAGGCCAAAGAGAGAGGAAGATTCAGAGAGAGAGAATGAGAGAGAGAGAAACAAATAAATTCCCAGCAAGAACTCCACTAGCAATGGTCTTGGCTGACTTTTCATTCTAGAATTGCGAAATCGTGAAATCACAAAAACACAAGATTGCAAAATTGCAACATTACAAAATCGCAAAATTAGGAAATTGCAAAATTACAAAATCATAAAATTGCAAAATCACAAGATTGCAAAATCATAACATCAGAAATCACAAAATCGTGAAATCAAAAAATCACAAAATTGTGAAAATTACAAAATCGCAAAATCACAAAATTGCAAAATCATAACATCATGAAATCAAAAAAATCACAAGATCATGAAATCATAAAATCATAAAATTGCAAAATCATAACGTGGTGAAATCACAAAACTGTGAAATCACATCAGGAAAATTGCAAAATCACAACATTGCAAAACCACAGCATTGCAAAATCCCAAAAACACAAGATCGTAAAAATTACAAAATCACAAAGTTGCAAAATCATAACATCACAAAATAAAAAAAATCACAAAATCGTGAAATCATAAAATTGCAAAATCACAACATTCTGAAAATTACAAAATCACAAAATTGCAAAATCACAACATCACAAAATCCCAAAAACACAAAATTACAAAATCGCAAAATCGTAAAATTGCAAAAATTACAAAATTGCAAAATCATAACATAATAAAATCAAAAACTCACAATATCGTGGAATCGCAAAATTGCAAAATTACATTGTGAAAATTACAAAATTGCAAAATCATAACATCACGAAATCCCCCAAAAAACAACATTACAAAATCGCAAAATCATGAAAATTACAAAATCACAAAATTGCAAAATCATAACATCACAAAATCAAAAAAATTGCAAAATCGCGAAATCATAAAATTGCAAAATCACAACATTGTGAAATCACAAAACCGCGAAAATCACAAAATCACAAAATTGAAAAATCACAAAATTGCAAAATCGTGAAATCGCAAAAACACAAAATTATGAAATCACATCCCCCCGCATGCTGGAAGACCTAGAAATCCTTAGAGAGATGTTCTCTTGGGTTACCAAAAAGAAAGAACCATTCTATTGTTTGTGGTCTGGCAGTCTTTAAAGACTTTGTTGAACTACAACTCCCATCCTTCCACAGTGTATGAATGAGAGAGAGTGCGCCCCCTGTTATGCGCAGCCCCGCTCCGGCTTTGTCAATCCAGGGTGCCACTTTAATTATGGCTCTCCCTGCCTTTTGTCTCACGCCGCCTTCCTTTGCTTTCCTTCCACGTTCCTGGCTTCAGGCCGAAAGAGAGCTAAGAATAGACCGATCAGGTTATCAGCCAAATCAATATGACAGAAAAGGAGCTGCCGCTCACCAAGAGGATGTCCGTCACCACGGCCCAGTTGAGAGAGAGGAAAAATCCGGCAAGGGCAATGAAGATCTGGAACGGGGATATATAAATCAGGAAAGAAGAGAGAGAAAAACATTGTGAATGGAACAGAACGTTCCAGGGAAACCACGTGAAGCAAGGTGAGGGTTGGGAGCTCTCATGTCAATGGAGAGGTGAAGCCACGCCAGGGTTGAGTTTGTAGATTCAGGAATCTACGAAAGGTGCCCAACACCATATTCAAATGCTATCCAAGGTGCCCAAGATCATCCTCAAAAGCTCTCCAAAAGGTATCTTCTGAGGGATTACTTTTCACTTTAAGAACACATCTATTCAATGCTAAGGCTTCCTGCCAAAATGGAACTGTAGAAGAGAGTCTACTGAACAAGCCAATATCTGCCACATACCCGTGCTGCCATTTGTTGAGGCTTTACGAAGGTGGAGGCATTACTTTTCACTTTAACAACACAACTGTTCAATGGTAAGGCTTCTCACCAAAATGGAACTGTAGAGGAGCATCTACTGAACAAGCCAGTACCTGCCAAATACCCGTACTGCCATTTGTTGAGGAGTTACGAAGGTGGAGGAATTACTTTTAACTTTAACAACACAACCATTCAATGCTAAGGCTTCCTGCCAAAATGGAACTGTAGAGGAGAGTCTACTGAACAAGCCAGTACCTGCTGCATACCAGTACTGCCTTCATTTGAGGAGTTACGAAGGTGGAGGAATTACTTTTAACTTTAACAATACAACCGTTCAATGCTAAGGCTTCCTGCCAAAATGGAACTGTAGAGGAGAGTCTACTGAACAAGCCAGTACCTGCCGCATACCAGCACTGCCATCTGTTGAGGAGTTACGAGGGGGAAGCATTACTTTTCACTTTAACAACACAACCGTTCAATGCTAAGGCTTCCTGCCAAAATGGAACCGTAGAGGAGAGTCTACTGAACAAGCCAGTACCTGCCGCATAGCAGTACTGCCAGATAACACTGAATACCTTTGAAGAACATTCGAGGACAGCTTTCAGAAATTATCCAAAGCTGTCCTCAAATGTTCTCCAAAGGTATTCAGTGTTATCTTCAATACGAGGGTTGAATAAAAAGTAATGCCTCCCCCTTCATAACGCCTCAACAGATGGCAGTACTGGTATGCAGCAGGTACTGGCTTGTTCAGTAGACTCCCCTCTACAGTTCCATTTTGGTGGGAAGCCTTAGCATTGAACGGTTGTGTTGTTAAAGTGAAAAGTAATGCGTCCACCTTCGTAACTCCTCAACAGATGGCAGTACTGGTATGTGGCAGGTATTAGCTTGTTCAGTAGACTCTCCTCTACAGTTCCATTTTGGCAGGAAGCCTTAGCATTTAACAGTTGTGTTGTTAAAGTGCAAAGTATGGAACCCTGCACAGACAGTCGGGTCAATGTGACTTAAGCAACAAACAGTCATTGAATTCTTGACAGCAGAAGGCGTCACCCCAAAGGAGATTAATCAGAGAATCAAGCTGTTTATGGTGATTGTGTTGATGTGAGTACTGTGCGTTGTTGGGCGAGAAAGTTTAAGGATGTTGAGGTGACACCTTCTGCTGTCAAGAATTCAATGACTGCATGTTGTTTAAGTCACATTGACTGATCGTCTGCGCAGGGTTCCATACTTCGCACTTTAACAACACAACCGTTCAATGCTAAGGCTTCCTGCCAAAATGGAACTGTAGAGGAAAGTCTTCTGAACAAGCCAGTGCCTGCCACATACCAGTACTGCCATCTCTTGAGGAGGTGGAGGCATTACTTTCATTCAACCCTCGTATCTTCAAAAGCTCTCCAAAAAGCTCTCCTCAAAAGCTCCCCAAAAGGATCCAAAGCTATCCTCAAAAGCTCTCCAAAAGTATTCGATGCTATCCTCAAATGCTCTCCAAAGGTACCCAAAGCTATCTCCAAAAGCTCTTCAAAGATGTCCAACATCATCCTCAAAAGCTTTTCAAAGATGTTATATGCTCTCCTCAAAAGTGCTCCAAAGTGCCATCCTCAAAAGCTCTCCAAAGGTACCCAATGTGTTCTTCAAAGGTTCTCCAAAAGTATCTCTTCTCAAACGATCTCTAAAGGTATCTAATGCTATCATCCAAGGATATCCAATGCTATCCTCAAAGGCTCTCCAAAGACATCTAAAGCTATCTTCAAAAGCTCTCCAAAGATATCCAATGTCATCCTCCAAAGGTATCCAATGCTATCCTGAAAAGCTCTCCAAAGGTATCCCTCAAAAGAAAGCTTTTGAGATACTTTTGGAGAGCTTTTGAGGGATACATTGGATACCTTTGGAGAACTTTTGAGGGATACACTGGAATGTATCCCTCAAAAGCTCTCCAAAAGTATCTCTTCTCAAAAGCTTTCCAAAGGTATCTAATGTTATCCTCCAAGGCTATCCAGTGCTATCCTCAAAAGATCTCCAAAGATATCTAAAGCTACCTTCAGAAGCTCCCCAAAGGTGTCCAACATCATCCTCAAAAGCTTTCCAAAGATGTTAAATGCTATCCTCAAAAGTGCTCCAAAGTGCCATCCTCAAAAGCTCTCCAAAGGCACCCAATGTGTTCTTCAAAAGCTCTCCAAAAGTATCTCTTCTCAAAAGCTCTCCAAAGGTATCCAATGCTATCCTCAAAAGCTCTCCAAAGATATCTAAAGCTATCTTAAAAAGCTCCCCAAAGGTATCCAACACTATCCTCAAAAGCTCTCCAAAGGTGCCCAATATCATCTTCAAAAGCTTTCCAAAGATGTTAAATTATATCCTCAAAAGTGCTCCAATGTGCTATCCTCAAAAGCTCTCCAAAGGTACCCAAAGGTATCTTCAAAAGCTCTCCAAAAGTGTCCAATATCATCTTCAAAAGCTTTTCAAAGATGTTAAATGCTATCCTCAAAAGCACTCCAATGTGCCATCCTCAAAAGCTCTCCAAAGGTATCAATGTGTCCCCTCTACAGCTCTCCAAACTGTCTCTTCTTTAAAGATCTCTAAAGGTATCTATCCTTCAAGGGTATCCAGTGCTATCCCCAAAAGCTCTCCAAAGGTATCCAATGTATCCCTTAAAAGCTCTCCAAAAGTATCTCTTCTCGAAAGCTCTCCAAAGGTACCCAAAGGTATCTTCAAAAGCTCCCCAAAAGTGTTCAACATCACCCTCAAAAGCATTTCAAAGATGTTAAATTCTATCCTCAAAAGCTCTCCAAAGATATCAATGTGTCCCTCAAAATTTCTCCAAAAGTATATCTTCTCAAAAGCTCTCCAAAGGTATCCAACACTATCCTCTAAAGCTCTCCAAAGATATCCAATATCATCTTCAAAAGCTTTCCAAAGATGTTAAATGATATCTTCAAAAGTGCTCCAATGTGACATCCTCAAAAGTTCTCCAAAGGTATCAATATGTCCCTCAAAAGCTCTCCAAAGGTGTCCAATATCATTTTCAAAAGCTTTCCAAAGATGTTATATGCTATCCTCAAAAGCTCTCCAAAGGTATCCAACGTGTCCCTCAAAAGCTCTCCAAAAGCATCGCTTCTCAAAAGCTCTCCAAAAGTATATCTTCTCAAAAGCTCTCCAAAGGTACCCAATTTGTCCTTCAAAGGCTCTCCAAAACTATCTCTTCTCAAAGATCTCAAAAGGTATCTCATGTTGTCCTCCAAGGGTATCCAGTGCTATCCTCAAAAGCTCTCCAAAGATATATAAAGCTATCTTCAAAAGCTCTCCAAAGGTATCCAATGTATCCTTCAAAAGTTCCCCTAAAATATCTCTTCTCAAAAGCTCCCCAAAGGTGTCCAACACTATCCTCAAAAGCTCTCCAAAGGTGTTCAACATCATCTTCAAAAGCTTTCCAAAGATGTTAAATGATATCCTCAAAAGTGCTCCAATGTGCCATCCTCAAAAGCTCTCCAAAGGTACCCAAAGGTATCTTCAAAAGCTCCCCAAAGGTGTCCAACATCATCCTCAAAAGCTTTTCAAAGATGTTATATGCTATCCTCAAAAGCTCTCCAGAGGTATCAATGTGTCCCTCAAAAGCTCTCCAAAAGTATCTTTTCTCAAAAGCTCTCCAAAAGTATCAATGTGTTCCCTCAAAAGCTCTCCAAAAGTATCTCTCCTCAAAAGCTCTCCAAAGGTATCCAAGGTGTCCCTCAAAAGCTCTCCAAACACATCTCTTCTCAAAAGCTCTCTAAAGGTATCCAACTATCTTCAAAGGTTCTCCAAAAGTACCCAACGCTATCCACAAAAGTTCTCCAAAAGTATCCAATGCAGTCCACAAAAGCTCTCCGAAAAGCTCTCCTCTAAAGCTCCCCAAAGGTGTCCAACACTATCCTCAAAAGCTCTCCAAGATGACCAATGCCATCCTCAAAAGATGCCTAAGGAATCCAAAGCTGTTTTCAAAAAGTCTCCAAAGTGACCCAATGCCACCCTCAACATGTCCATCCTTTTTTGCATAGGGTGGAGATGTGTTGACATTCAACAATGAAGCCCAGGACCCCCCCCCCCAAAAAATATCTTCTCGCCACTTACGTACGTAGCCAGGATACTGTCCTGCGCCAACATGATCGCCAGGTACATGCACGGCGCCGAAGCGAGCGACCCAAGGGCGCAGATCAGAGGGTCGGCCTTCGCATTGACCTTCTTGTACCGCCTAGCTGCTTCCGCTCCGGTCACAACTCCCAAAATACCGGTTGCAATCGTAATTCCTCCAAATATCCGGCTAGTGGAGAGGTAAACAGAGAGGGAAGTAGAGAGATCCGGATTTGAACTTGCAGCACTTTAAGGCAGGGTTAGGAAAGACCTTTGTCTGAGGCAGGAAGCAGCCAGGCTTTGAAACTGCAAGGCTATTTGATGCTAATCAAGCTGGCCAAGTGCACCATTCCCACTGTGGAATAATGTCCAGAGTGGGAGGAAGAACTCTCATCTGAGACAAGTGTGGAGGCAGGAAGCAGCCAGAGTTTGAAGCTGCAAGGCTATTTGATGCTAATGAAGCTGGCCAAGTGCGCCATTCACACTTTGGAATAATGTCTAGTGTGGGAGGAAGAAATCTTGTCTGAGGCAAGTGTGGAGCCAAGAAGCAGCCAGGCTTTGAAGCTGCAAGTCTATTTGATGCTAATCAAGCTGGCCAAGTGCGCCATTCCCACTGTGGAATAATGTCCAGGATGGGAGAAAGAACTCTTGTCTGAGACAAGTGTGAAGGCAGAAAGAAGCCAGGCTTTCAAGCTGCAAGGCCATTCAATGCTAATGTGTAGGGTGGGAGGAAGAACTATTGTCTGGGGCAAGTGTGAAGGCAGGAAGCAGCCAGGCTTTGAAGCTGCAAGGCCATTCAATGCTAATGTCTAGGGTGGGAGGAAGAACTCTTGTCTGAGGCAAGTGTGGAGGCAGGAAGAAGCCAGGCTTTGAAGCTGCAAGGCCATTCAATGCTAATGTCAAGGGTGGGAGGAAGAACTCTTGTCTGAGGCAAGTGTGGAGGCAGGAAGCAGCCAGGCTTTGAAGCTGCAAGGCCATTTAATGCTAATGTCCAGGGTGGGAGGAAGAACTCTTGTCTGAGGCAAGTGTGGAGGCAGGAAGAAGACAGGCTTTGAAGCTGCAAGGCCATTCAATGCTAATGTCTAGGGTGGGAAGAAGAACTCTTATATGAGGCAAGTGTGCAGGCAGGAAGCAGCCAGGCTTTGAAGCTGCAAGGCTATTAGATGGTAATCAAGCTGGCCAAGTGTGCCATTCCCACTGTAGAATAATGTCTGGAGAGGGAGGAAGAACTCTCGTCTGAGGCAGGTGTGCAGGCAGGAAGCAGCCAGGCTTTGAAGCTGCAAGGCCATTCAATGCTAATCAAGCCCAGCAAAACTCACAGCAACCCAGTCTTCCGGATGTTTGCAGGGCCACAAATTGCATAATCCCCCTTGGGATGTGTAGTTGTAAAAGGGCTCCCCATCGAAACCACACACGCCGTTGGCTTGCACTTCTGCCTCACCTGTTGGACGTGTTACACGCTTCCACTTTCTCGCACGGCGGGAACCAGTGAAGGACGAGCTGAGCTCGGTAGAGGAAGACGGGGATCCAAAAGCTGAGGGCGCCCGTGACAAAGCCCATGGCCGTCACCCCCAGCGAGGACCAGAGGAAACTCCGGCTGCAACGCAGACAAGAGAGAGACACAGGTTCACACATTCCTTCATTGCACATCAATCTTTCCCTTTTGCGGATACGTTTCGCTTTTGGTTTGGCCTTCATTGAAGACACCTTCCTAGGAGATACCTAATGGAGGTCCTGGGATGTATAGCTCACCTGAAATCAAAGAGCACTCTGAATTCCACCAATGATGGATCAGGAGCTAACTTGGCACACTGAGCCCCCACAACCAGCAAAAACTACTGGAGGTCTTTGGGGAATATTCACCTTGATTTGAGGGAGTTGTAGTTCACCTACATCCAGAACCCAAACACCGATGGATCTGGACCAAACTTGACACGCATACCTGATATACTGAAATTTGATTACTGGAGGGGTTTGGGGGGAAACTGACCTTCCTTTCTGGGAGTTGTAGTTCACCTACAGCCAGAGAAACTATGACTTCCACTGATGATGGACCTGGACCAAATTTAGCACACAGAACACGCATGACTGACTCAACCTACTGGAGGGGTTTGAGGGGACTGACTTACCATAGTGGGAGTTGTAGTTTACCCTACAGCCAGAGAGCACAGTGAAACCCATACATGATGCATCTAGAGCGAACTTGCCCAGCATAACAAACTTTGAAGACTGATGGAGTTTCTGGGGGTTAACCTGGCATGATGTGAGTTGTAGTTCGCCCACAACCTTATGCATTTGGGACAATTGAAAAACTGACTTTTTCAAATATCCAGGGCAAGCTAGTCTGGAATAAATAAATAAATACCTGGAATAAACAATGAACACAGATTTCTACAAATCAAGAGCGCCCCCTGGTGGATGCAGGAAGTCTCATATTAAGTGGATTGCAATGCATTTCATCCCAGGTCCATGATATTATCATCCACTGCCATATACTCTGTGTGTGTGTGTGTGTGTGTATATATATATATATATACATACATACATACATACATACATACATACATATATACAAACATATATATATACATACATACATACACATATATACACACACACACATATATACCCACACACATATACATGCATATATATATATATATACACACATACAGACATACATATATATATATACTCACACACACATACATATTGATCCCACAAATGAATACATATATACATACACATATACACATATATATACATACCCACAGACATATACATATACATATATACATACACATATATACATACCCACACATATATACATATATACATATATATACACATACACACAGACACATATATATATACTCTCATAGACATATATATACACACATACACATACCCACACACATACATATTAATCCCACAAATGAACACATATATACATACACATATACATACATATATATATATATACACACACACATACCCACAGACATATACATATACGTATATATACACACACATATATACATACCCACATATATATACACACATACATATATATATACTCACACACACACACATACATGTTAATCCCACAAATGAACACATATATATACATACACATATACATATATATATATACATACCCACAGACCTATACATATATATATATACACACACACATATATATACATACCCACACATATATACATATATATATATATACATACACATACACACACACACACACATATATACTCTCACACACATACATGTTAATCCCACAAACACACACATATATATATACACATACACATATACATATACATACCCACAGACATATATACACACATATATATATACACACACATACATATATATACACATACACACATAAATATATATCCATACACACACATATATATACACACACATATATGTACATGTACACATATGCGTACAATGGAACATATTTTCAAGCAAATCAGAATCCTGCAAAAATGCAATCATTAAATAATACATTATTATTATTATTATTATTATTATTATTATTATTATTAAATCAATGGGATCTTGGTAAGTCAACACATGTATTTCGGCCCATACATTTCCCCTTTGGTAACGCAAGAGCAGTGAGGAGTGCCTTACTTTTTGCAGAGAGAGGAAACGTCTTGCAGCCAAGTGGAGCCTCCACCACAAACACCATCGTCCTCGAGTTTCTCCACTGAAGAGTTGGCCGATTTGGGGACCAGGAAAATGAGGAGGGCCAGGCCCACGGCTCCCATGCACGGGGTCACCTGCACCGATGAGAGAAGCCAGGTCTCAATTGCGTTTGCAAAGCTTGTGGTTACAACTGGAGTTTTCTGGGCTGTCTGGCCATGTTCCAGTAGCATTCTCTCCTGACGTATTGCCTGCGCCTATGGCACAGTGTTCTCTTGATGTAGGTGAACTACATCTCCCTAAATCATTGTCAATTCTTCCCAAATCCCTCCAGTATTTTCTGTTGCTCATGGAGGTTCTGTGTGGAAAGTTTGTCCCAATTCTATCATAGGTGGGGTTCAAGGGACCCTTTGATTGTAGGTGAACTATAAATCCCAGCAACTAAAACTCCCAAATGTCAAGATTCTATTTTCCCCAAACTTCACCAGTGTTCACATTTGGGCATACTGAGTATTCGTGTAGAGTTTGGTCCAGATCCATCATTGTTTGAGTCCACAGTGCTCTTTGGAGGTAGGTAAACTACAACTCCCAAACCCAAGGTCAATGCCCACCAAACTCTTCCAGTATTTTCTGTTGGTTATGGGAGAACTGTGTGCCAAGTTTGGCTCAATTCCATCGTTGGTGGGGTTCAGAATGCTCTTTGATTGTAGATGAACTATAAATCCCAGCAACTACAACTCCCAAATGACAAAATCATTTTTTTTTAGTGAAGGACATACATTGGGTTGTTAAGTGTCTTGTGTCCAAATTTGGCGTCAATTTGTCCAGTGGTTTTGGAGTTCTGTTAATCCCACAAACCAACATTACATTTTTATTTATATAGATGGGGCTGGAGCTACACTTCAAAAAAGTCCCTGCTCCGCTTGTATACAAATCCATCTTAAGAGCAAACCTAAACAACCGATCGTGTTCGTAACTTAGGTTCATAACCAAGAAAACTCACCCGGAAGCCCCAGTTCCAGTGACCGGTGGCCTGGGCCATTCCCGAAGACAGGATGTAGCCGAGGCCGCTGGAGTGGAAGAAAGACACAACGTTGATGCCCAAAGGCCGAGCCGAGACCCCCGAAGTGGACTCATGCTCACAGGCACACGGCCCCGATGTCGTGCTCCCTGATACCTCTATCGACTTGAGTTTACCTTCCAACTGGGATGAAGATGTAGAAGAGGGAGAGCATCCACGTCCGGTGGTTCTTCTCAAACAGGTCGGCAATGAGGGTGGGCGCTAAGGTCGAATAGCTGGCGGTGCCGGCACCCACAAGGCCCCGCGAGACAAAGAACAGCCAGGCCATCTGCAGCAAGGGAAGGCACCACTGTTAAATAATAATACTTTATTTACATTCTACCCAGGGGCGGCTCATCCATTACGCGAAGTAAGCGGTCGCAGAACACTTTTTTTTTTGCCAGGGGCGCAGAGGTGCCTCTGTAAATGCCCCTCGACCACCACTTGAGGAGCGCCCCCTCAGCTCACAACAGCCCTAGCAGTCCGGGGGGAGCCTCGGCTTTCTTGCCTCGCTGCCGGGTGATCTTCTTCCCAAAGGGGCCGGGCCCTTGAGCCTCGCCTAGCCCCTCTCGTTCCTGTTCCACCTGGCCACCGGGTGCGTGAGCAGAGCCGGCGCTCAATCGTTCTCCGTGTTTGATCCCTTCCCCATGACCGGCTCCCTTTCCCGATCCCCTGGCGCTCCACTCACCTCCTCTCCTCTCCCCAATCCGAGGGTGGGCCAAGGGGCGGAGCCGCCACGCCTGGCCCGCTTCGGGTCCGGAGGCGTGTCTGAAGACCCCAGCGTGCGCACCAAAAGTCGCCTCTTCTCCTGACTTTCTCTTCAGCCATTGGGACCAAGAGAGAGAGAGAGAGAGAGCCCCTCCGGCTGGAGGTATCTCCCACTTCCGCTCCCTCCTTTGTTTTTGCGCCTACCTTCAGGAAAGGTGGGCATCTCCCCCTCTCTCTCTCTCTCTCTCTTGGTCCCAATGGCTGAGGAGAAAGTCAGGAGAAGAGGTGACTTTTGGTGCACACGCCGGGGTCTTCAGGCACGCCTCCGGACCCAAAGCGGGCCAGGCAAGGGAGCAAGTGCGGCAAGTATAGTTACTGGGATGTATAGTTCACCTACAATCAAAGAGCATTCTGAACTCCACCAATGATGGAATTGAACCAAATATGGCACACAGAACTCCCACGACGAACAGAAAATATATATCAATGATTGGTTGGGGGGGGGGCGCCAAAATACTGTTTGCTTACTGTTGAAAATTACCTAGGGCCGCCTCTGATTCTACCCTATCTCCCCGAGGGAAATGGGATTCAGAGTCATTAAATAGTCATCTACAACATAGGTAGATACTCACACTGAGTCACAGAGGAGAGAGAAAGATGGATTCTTTCATCTTCCTTATATAGCCATCAGTAAGGGACTTTTTTTTTACTTGACTTACTTAGGCAATCCCTCGTAGTCTGAGGATGATGGTCCTCCAAGTTCGGTGTCCTGGGGGTGGGTCCGTAGGTGACTGTGGAGCCCTATTCTTGCTCTGCTTCTTCTCCCACAGTGAGGGCATTGGTTTCCAGGTGGGAGACGGTCTTGGGTGGGGTTGGCTTGACATGCCTTCCTCTTGGCACATTTCTCTGTTTCACCCTCCATTTGTGCCTCTTCAAATTCTGCAGCACTGCTGGTCACAGCTGACCTCCAACTGGAGCGCTCAAGGGCCAGGGCTTCCCAGTTCTCAGTGTCTATGCCAGAGTTTTTAAGGTTGGCTTTGAATCTCTTTTCCTGTTTCCGTTCTTGAGTTCGGAGTAGAGCAACTGCTTTGAGAGACGGTGGTCGGGCATCCGGACAACGTGTCTGGTCCACCCGAGTTGATGGTGGAGGAGCATCGCTTCAATGCTGGTGGTCTTTGCTTCTTCCAGCACGCTGACGTTTCCCCACCTGCCAATCTTTCAATCTCTTTTCCCGTTTCCATTCTTGAGTTCGGAGTAGAGCAACTGCTTTGGGAGACGGTGATCGGGCATCCGGACAACGTGGCCAGTCCAGCCGAGTTGGTGGCAGAGGACCATTGCTTCAATGCTGGTGGTCTTTGCTTCTTCCATCACACTGACGTTTCCCCGCCTGCCCATCTTTCAATCTCTTTTCCCGTTTCCATTCTTGAGTTCGGAGTAGAGCAACTGCTTTGGGAGACGGTGGTCGGGCATCCGGACAACGTGGCCGGTCCAGCCGAGTTGATGGCAGAGGACCATCGCTTCAATGCTGGTGGTCTTTGCTTCTTCCAGTACACTGACGTTTCCCCACCTGTCTTCCCAAGAGATTTGCAGGATTTTTCAGCGCTGATGGAATTGTTCTAGAAGTTGCATTTGACGTCTGTAGACAGTCCACGTCTCACAGGGTTGGGAGGACAATAGCTTTATAAACAAGTATCCATAGGGAGAATGTCCCGGTCCTCAAACGCTCTCTGCTTCATTCGGAAAAATGCTGCACTCGCAGAGCTCAGGCAGTGTTGTATTTCAGTGTCAATGTTGACTTTGGTGGAGAGGGGGCTGCCAAGGGAGCGGAAATGGTCAAGGTTTTCTTACCGACTCCGTGATGAACGAACTCCCGAGGGTGACGCCGGACCAGAGCAGGATCCCGGCCCCGAGGATGATCTTCCGGTTGTATCGGTCGCCCAGGAACCCGAAGAGTGGCGCAAAGAACAAGAAGCAGAGGATGAAAACTGTGGCGGAGAGAGAAAGGCAGGGAAGGAGGCCAAGGAGAGCCAGGATTAGGGCATCCGGGAGAGCATTCCAGGGCATAGATCACAACTCAGCCCTGTAAGATATCACCATCAGAATCAGACAACACAGGATTTCGGGAATGTTAGTCTTACAAGGTAATTTTATCTAGCCTTCTCTAGACAGACAGACAGATAGAAAGAAAGACAGGACAACAGAGAGACAGGAAGATGGATAGATAAATAGATTAAATAGATAAAAGGATTAATGGATGGATGGATGGATGGATGGATGGATGGATGGATGGATGGATGGATGGATGGATGGATAGAGTGATAGAGGGATAAAGGGATAGATGGATGGATAGATAGATAGATAGTGAGAGAGAGTGAGAGAGTGATAGGTATAGTTAGAGGGATAGATAGAGTGATAGGTCTCTACCTATCACTCTATCTATCCCTCTAACTATCACTCTAACTATCACTCTATCACTCTATCTATCTATCTATCTATCTATCTATCCCTCTGGATAGATAGATAGATAGATAGATAGATAGATAGATAGATAGATAGATAGATAGATAGAGTGATAGATAGATAGATAGATAGATAGATAGATAGATAGATAGATAGATAGATAGATAGAGGGATAGAGAGAGAGATAGATAGATAGATAGATAGATAGATAGATAGATAGATAGATAGATAGATAGATAGATAGATAGATAGATAGTAAGAGAGTGATAGAGGATAGGTAGAGTGATAGTTAGAGGGATAGATAGAGTGATAGGTAGAGGGATAGATAGATAGATAGATAGATAGATAGATAGATAGATAGATAGATAGATGGCCATGGTAGTCCACGCTCTGGTTACATCCCGTTTAGACTACTGCAACGCTCTCTACGTGGGGTTGCCTTTGAAGACGGCTCGGAAGCTCCAATTAGTCCAACGGTCGGCAGCCATGATACTAACTGGAGCGGAGCGCAGGGAGCGCACAACTCCTTTGCTGCACCAGCTCCACTGGCTGCCGATTTGCTACCGGGCTCAATTCAAAGTGCTGGCGTTGGCCTTTAAAGCCCTAAACGGTTCTGGCCCAACTTATCTATCCGAACGTATCTCGGCCTATCAGCCCACCAGGACCCTAAGATCTTCTGGGGAGGCCCTGCTCTCTATCCCGCCTGCTTCACAGGTGCGGCTGGCGGGGACGAGAGACAGGGCCTTTTCTGTGGTGGCCCCTCGGCTCTGGAACGCCCTTCCCATGGAGGTAAGATCAGCCTCCTCGCTGATGGTATTCCGAAAAAGACTAAAAACTTGGATGTTCAAGCAGGCATTTGGTTAATTTGGTGCAATGAATGTGTCGACTACGGATTGGTAATATGGATGATGCAATTGGACCACGATTTTAGTTAGGAGATGTATTGGATTGTGATTTACGTGTAATATTGTGTATTATGTTTTTTATGGTTTTAATTGTATACTGTGCACTGTATATTTTGTTGTAAACCGCGTTGAGTCGCCAGTTAGGCTGAGAAACGGCGGTATACAAGGACAGTAAATAAATAAATAAATAGAGGGATAGAGAGAGTGATAGATAGATAGATACATACATACATAGAAAGATAGATAGATAGATAGATAGATAGATAGATAGATAGATAGAGGGATAGAGGGATAGAGAGAGGAATAGATGGATAGATAGAGGGATAGATAGATAGATAGATAGATAGATAGATAGATAGATACATAGAAAGATAGATAGATAGATAGATAGATAGATAGATAGATAGATAGATAGATGATAGATGAGATAGAGGGGATAGATAGATTATATAATTAGATACTATATAGAGATAGATAGATAGATAGATAGATAGATAGATAGATAGATAATAGATAGATAGATACATACATAGAAAGATAGATAGATAGATAGATAGATAGATAGATAGATAGATAGATAGAGGGATAGATAGAGGGATAGAGAGAGGAATAGATGGATAGATAGAGGGATAGAGAGAGAGATAGATAGATAGATAGATAGATAGATAGATAGATAGATAGATAGATAGATAGATGATAGATAGATAGAGGGATAGAGGGAGGAATAGATGAATAGATGGATAGATAGAGGGATAGATAGATAGATAGATAGATAGATAGATAGATAGATAGATAGATGGATAGAGAGGAATAGAAGGATAGATGGATACATACATAGAAAGATAGATAGATAGATAGATAGATAGATAGAGATAGAGGGATAGAGAGAGGAATAGATGGATAGATAGATGGATAGATAGAGGGATAGATAGATAGATAGATAGATAGATAGATAGATAGATAGATAGATAGATGGATAGAGAGGAATAGATGGATAGATAGATACATACATAGAAAGATAGATAGATAGATAGATAGATAGATAGATAGATAGATAGATAGATAGATAGATGGATAGAGGGATAGAGGGATAGAGAGAGGAATAGATGGATAGATAGAGGGATAGATATAGATAGATATAGATAGAGAGAGAGAGAGAGAGAGAGAGAGAGAGAGAGAGATAGATAGATAGATATAGACAGGTCTCCTGATCCCTCTACACATAGAAGCTACACAGGAAAAAAGGGGTCCATTATGCAGACAAATTAAGCAAAACTATTATTATTATTTAAACGAAAGGCCCTCTTTACTCAGGAAGCTGGATTTTGCACCCCGAAGCCACATCCTGCCTTTCCCCCTTCACCGTGAAGCTGCGGTCGTCTACCAAAGGCCTTGCAAAACGACAATTGCACCTCGTTCCTGGTTTCCTTTGGCATTTGCAGGAAGGAAGACCTCCGCTTTCAGAGCTCGGTTTCGGCACAGAGAAAGGGAGAGCGTGATGCAAGTGAGACCAACATTTCCAAACTACCTGTGTGCAGCAGTCCTGCGGTGCTGTCTCCGAGTCCGAAGTATTGCTGGATGTCAAGAAGCACCCCTGCAAGAGAGGAAGGAGCCATGGTCATCAGACACCAATGGTCCCCCCTCCAAGGTTTCCTCCACCACAGACATCCCAGTGTTTCTGACTCTCTCCATTGGTGTGGAATTATAGTGAGCGCCGTAAACATGTCCAATGTCCTCCACAAACACCACACTGCCCACCACCCAAGGGACAATTCCATCATAGATTACATGTGTTTCCTCCACCACAGACATCCCAGTGTTTCTGACTCTCCCCATTGGTGTGGAATTATAGTGTGTGCTGTAAACATATCCAATGTCCTCCACAATCACCACACTGCCCACCACCCAAGGGAAGGCTTTCATACAGGTAGAATCCCATCCTATATTGTATGGGTTTCCTCCACCACAGCAAACTATGCACAAGTATCTCAAATGACAAAGAACAAAAATGTATGTATGTAAATCTTAGCAGACTCTCAAGACAGTAATATACAACAGTATTCTATGTTCTCTATTGGCATAACTTGTCTGAGACTTTATAACATTAAATAAATATGTTATCAGCACATTAACATAGAGAAATCAACAACAGACTAAAGGTAATAGAGTCCATCCTTTCAGTGAAGAAATTCCAGAGTCTCTATCTTTATCTTCAAAAAAAAAAAATTCTTCTTTTGATAAGACAGTCTCAAGGAATTCTTCTTGGGCAACAAGGTCTTTCATAGGCAACAAAATCTCAACAAGGTCTTCCGGTATGTTTATCCTTGTTTCGAACAATATCTTCCTCAGGGTGTAGTCTGTATCTTATTATGCTTAGTGCACTAAATAAGGAGTAGAAATAACATACAACATAGATACATGAAACTCCCCAAAATAACATTGATTAGAAAAACATTTTGTAATAACAGTAAAGATACACGCTACTCTACTTACATTCTCTTCAGTAATACAGGTTCTGTACTACAGGCTCTGTTGTAGTAGGAGTTCTGTAACGAGCAGTGAGTCATAGCTGGGCTGTCTCTTAAGTAGAATTACATCTCACAAGAAACAAGTGTATTCAATTTTATCATTTAGTCCTAGAGGAACCAGTGTTTGTAGTTTGAAGATCCAAAAAGATTCCCTTTGCAGAAGGAGTTTTTTTGTATCTGCATTAGGTCTGGGTACTATTTTTTCCAAAGCGCAAAATTTAAAGCTGTGGTGTGTATGTGCTTTTTCATTAAAATGTACATATAGTGAAGAGTCAGTGGACCCATTCCTTATGCGTGAACGATGTTCATTTATCCTAATTTTAAGGGGTCTAGTAGTTATTCCAACATATAGTAATTTGCAGGGGCATTCTAACAGGTACACTACATTATCACTGGAACATGTTGTCAAATGTCGTAATGTGACATTAATATTGAGTGTTGGATGAGAGTAAATTTTACTCTTAAGTGATTGCTGGCAGCAGTTACAGTGTCCACAGCTAGTGTGACCCCTAGTGGTAGGTTCATGGGATGTATTGGGAGTGTTATATTCAGAGTGGATTATAAGGTCCCTTAAATTTCTGGATCTTTTATGGGCAATTATAGGTTTGTCTTTGCATCCAGGAATGTCCTGTAGTAAATGCCAGTGTTTTGAAATAATCTTAGTGATCTTGGATGAATATTGTGTCAGTGTCAAGGGCCATATTATGCGGTTGTTATGTTTTCTAGGGCGTTCCTGTAGTAATTCACCTCTGTTGATGGAGTTTGCCTTGTTCATGGCTGTGTTGAGTATGCTATTAGGGTATCCTCTCTCTCTTAGTTGTTTTTTCAGGATACCTGCCGTAGATTCAAAGTCCTTTTGTGTGCTAGAATTACGTTTCAGTCTTAAAAACTGAGAAAATGGTAAATTGGATTTAAGAGAAAAGTGATGAAAGCTGGAAAAATGTAAAAAGGAATTCTTGTCTGTAGGTTTACTATAATTTTTCACTAATAGTTTCTGACCTTTTTTGAAAACCATGACATCCAGGAAGTTAACATTAGTAGGGCTATAGTGGTGTGTAAATTTCATGTGTTTATGTAGTGTATTAATCCAGCTGTAGAATAGGTCAGCTACTGCCTGTGATCTCACTACTGTAAATATATCATCTAGATACCTTCCAAAATAAAGGATATCTGAAGAAAATGGATTCTTAGTGGTATTAAAGATGAATTTATTTTCTAAGTATGCAACGAATAAATTGGCTATAGCGGGTGCAAGTGGGCTACCCATAGCGATTCCGAATGTTTGTAAATAAAATTGTTTATCAAAACTAAAATAGTTGTATTCTAGCACAATGTCTAGCAAATCCATGAGGAAGTGAGTGGGAGGAACTGGAGATTTGCGTGTGTCAAGTATATCTTTAACTACTGCTCTGGCCTCATCTAAAGGTATGTTTGTATATAGGGCTTCAATATCTAAGGTCATGAGTATGGCTTGCTCAGGTATAGTTAGGGCTTCTATTATATTGATAAAATGTTTGGTGTCTTTGATAAATGATGTATTTAATGGTACAAAAGGTTGCAAAAAATGGTCAATAAACTGAGCTAAAGGTTCCAAAATAGATGCAGTGCCTGAAACGATAGGTCTACCTGGTGGAGGAAAGGTTCTTTTGTGAATCTTCGGGAGAACATAAAATACCGGTGTTCTGGGGTATGGATTCTGAAGGAACTCATATGTCTGTAATGAAATATATCCCAGTGAGAGACCTTCAGCACATACTGTACGTATAAGGGATCTAATTTTATTAATGGGATCCTTAGGAATACATTTATAGAACATGTTGTTAGAGAGATGTCTTTCTACTTCCTTAACATAGTCAATTCTATTCAGCAATACCACCGCCCCTCCCTTATCAGCTGGTTTCCAAATATATTGTGGCATGTTTGCTAGTCTTTTAATGGTATTCAATTCAGTCATAGACATATTCGGAAAGGTTTTGGACCTGGATTTGGATAGTCTGCTAATGTCCCGTTCCACAACTTTTTCAAATGTTTTTATCATCATATTATCAGTGTTGGGGTAGAATTTGTTTTTAGGTTTGAACACAGTTTCAGGTTTGGAATCCGTCTTATTACCAAAAAAGTGTTTTAATCTAATAGTTCTAAACAACTTAAATAGTTCAACCCTGGTGTGGAATGGATTGTATCTGGGAGTGGGAACAAAACTTAGTCCCTTATTAATTAACTCTTCCTCTTGTGATGAGAGAGGGTAGTTAGAAAGATTTACCACTAGGGAGGAGCTTTTCTGTATGAACCCCTCTGAAAATGGTGAGTGGGTGGTTTAGATTTAATTCTATATGATCGTCGTGGTAGTATTGGACTAGTGGAAGTAGTGGAACTATCCGTAGACTTCCCTGGGTCTTCTTCAGTGGTGGAATAAGGGTCAAGAGAATCTGTTTCAAAGCGAACCCTCCTTTTCCCTGTACTAGAGGAAGTAGAACGGGTTTTCCAATTGTAGACCCTATTATTGTCATAATCAGCTCTGTCTCTATTAAACTTTTTGATTTTAAATTCCTTAATTTGTGAGTAAAGTTCTTTACATTTCTTATCAATTTCTTGTAGATGAGATTGGTTTTGTTCTACTTTATTTATGTCCTCTGCTAGAGTAGTAAGTTTACCCTCATATTCCACAGTCAGGGAATTAGCTTTCTGGATGATGAGTGCCATTAAATCCTTAGAACATTTGTTCAAAATCAAATTCCAATTATTAACAAAATCAATATCTTCTAAGAACATTCCCGGAGGTTTGTACACTCGGAGGAATATGAGGGTAAACTTACTACTCTAGCAGAGGACATAAATAAAGTAGAACAAAACCAATCTCATCTACAAGAAATTGATAAGAAATGTAAAGAACTTTACTCACAAATTAAGGAATTTAAAATCAAAAAGTTTAATAGAGACAGAGCTGATTATGACAATAATAGGGTCTACAATTGGAAAACCCGTTCTACTTCCTCTAGTACAGGGAAAAGGAGGGTTCGCTTTGAAACAGATTCTCTTGACCCTTATTCCACCACTGAAGAAGACCCAGGGAAGTCTACGGATAGTTCCACTACTTCCACTAGTCCAATACTACCACGACGATCATATAGAATTAAATCTAAACCACCCACTCACCATTTTCAGAGGGGTTCATACAGAAAAGCTCCTCCCTAGTGGTAAATCTTTCTAACTACCCTCTCTCATCACAAGAGGAAGAGTTAATTAATAAGGGACTAAGTTTTGTTCCCACTCCCAGATACAATCCATTCCACACCAGGGTTGAACTATTTAAGTTGTTTAGAACTATTAGATTAAAACACTTTTTTGGTAATAAGACGGATTCCAAACCTGAAACTGTGTTCAAACCTAAAAACAAATTCTACCCCAACACTGATAATATGATGATAAAAACATTTGAAAAAGTTGTGGAACGGGACATTAGCAGACTATCCAAATCCAGGTCCAAAACCTTTCCGAATATGTCTATGACTGAATTGAATACCATTAAAAGACTAGCAAACATGCCACAATATATTTGGAAACCAGCTGATAAGGGAGGGGCGGTGGTATTGCTGAATAGAATTGACTATGTTAAGGAAGTAGAAAGACATCTCTCTAACAACATGTTCTATAAATGTATTCCTAAGGATCCCATTAATAAAATTAGATCCCTTATACGTTCAGTATGTGCTGAAGGTCTCTCACTGGGATATATTTCATTACAGACATATGAGTTCCTTCAGAATCCATACCCCAGAACACCGGTATTTTATGTTCTCCCGAAGATTCACAAAAGAACCTTTCCTCCACCAGGTAGACCTATCGTTTCAGGCACTGCATCTATTTTGGAACCTTTAGCTCAGTTTATTGACCATTTTTTGCAACCCTTTGTACCATTAAATACATCATTTATCAAAGACACCAAACATTTTATCAATATAATAGAAGCCCTAACTATACCTGAGCAAGCCATACTCATGACCTTAGATATTGAAGCCCTATATACAAACATACCTTTAGATGAGGCCAGAGCAGTAGTTAAAGA